GAAAGTCCTAAATGGAAAAGTCATGCGGTCGAAATTCATAACAGTCGTTTCTTGAGTCACTATCTAACACGTATCCGTCTTGATAGTGACTCAAGAACCTTAAGAATCTGATCATGAGAACTCAAGAATCTCAAGAATCTGATCTTGAGGATACATCTTGCGTGATCGTCACACCGTCCCGTACGAAATGCTAATTCTCCGGGTTGTTAACACGGCAGCTGTTGGGGGGGGGGAATGTAACTACAGGCTGTAATATTTTTCGTTATTAAAAAAAAAAAAAAAAAAAAAAACCTTGTCTTTCTGTGCATTTGTATGAAAACTATGTATTACTCTCATATAAGTCTGTACTTTTCGAAATACTGAATTTTTCCTTTCTTTGTTGCATTTGGATTAACTGTCGTATCTCTTTAGTTAAGTTATTAAAATATTGTCACTAATCGTGGCTTGTAAAATCGAAAAAAATGTTAATTTCTGTCTTCTGCACTCATAATTACAATTTAATCTAATCTGAAATACAAGAAGCAGTTAAATACGTCGTGGAATAATTATTTTTGTTTGTTGTTTAAGACGTTTGGGGAAATTTTATAAATATTGTAGCTTTTATCGATCTCTCAGGTTTTCCTAGCTCGCCCGTCGGCGGTTTTCCTTAATCTCTGGAGATCTTTGTTAAGTCTGCATAAAACTGCGCCAAAAGGCTTATGCGATTACTTCTTAAGAATTTCTACAAATGTTAAGAGCTAGAAGGACTGGTATTTCGCCGGATTAGTTCTGTCAAAAAGGGGTGAAATATGCTGGAATTACACAAGTATACTTCTTGAGATTTAGTGGAGTATATTTTTATTGTACTTGCTAACTTAAAGTAGCATATTTTGTCTTTATCATCGTGAATGCTGTCAATGTCTTGAGGATTTTCAGTGGCATTAAGCATGAAATGTTTATGAAAATAATAAATAATGATAATTTAATTTTAAGATAGCAAATGATAATTATGAAAAATCTGAGGATACTGGTTGTATATAGAGTATTTTCTAAGATACTAAATGTGATACTTTAATAAAAAAAAAAAAAAAGGGAGTGTTTAATATAGTAATATTTTTCCCCTCCCTCTCTGAGAAAGCTAAATGAAATCACTTTTCTTTGGCTCCATATAAAACTGTATTAATTTTCGATGCGAAATTGTCTGGGAAGGTAAGTTAAGAGAAAAAACAAGGTTTGTAATGAAATACTATAATGTTATTTTTTAATATAAATAGAATAATTTTATTCTTCAAATGCTCTTGCTTTCTAAATGATAAATGAAATCTAATTATTTTGCAACGTAAAGAATTTATACCGGCGGTTTATTTTCATTTTGCATTTCGTTTCTTCATATTTCTTTCCCTTCCAAACTCATCAGTGGCCGAGCGGTAAAATCGCTGAACACTGGTAGTTCGGTCCGAGGTTCGAATCCCGCGAACGGGCTGGCTGCGTGGGTGTTTTCGTGGTTTTCCCCATGTGTAACGTGTATACGAGCCAGTTTCCCTTGGAAGAAAGTCCTCCACGAAGGCATCCCTTCCCTTAGGCAGATATCCCTAGTGTGCTTTGCCAGAATTAAATACACCACACCACACCACACCACCATTGCAATCCAGTTTCGTAATTTGAAGCAGTAATTCCAACCCGTGTGAATGTGTAATATAATAAAGTGACTACGCTTCATCAGTGGGTCAGGATATAAGTTCTTGTACTTCACAAAAAGTTTTGAGGTACTTTTTTGGTTTTTATGTAATTGTAGCCCGAGTGATCCAAAAGTAATAGAAAACGTAAAATTCAGTAATTCGAAAAATATAGGGAGTAGCACAATGCCTTTTCCACAGAAATCGAGGGGGAAAAAAGGAGATTTTTTTTTTTTTTTAAATAATGAACGATTTTACTGCCAGAATAGTTATATTTTTACCTGCGGATAGTGCTTCAATTGCATTAGACGTTCTTACAATTTCATTAGACGTTCTTCAATTGCATTAGACGTTCTTACAATTTCATTAGACGTTCTTCAATTGCATTAGACGTTCTTACAGATAGAGGCTCATCAGCGGTCGGCGGTAAAATCACTGAACACTGGTAGTTTGGTCCGAGATTCGTATACCGCGAACGGGCTGGCTGCATGGGCGTTTTCGTGGTTTTCCCCATGTGTAATGTGTATACGACATAGAGTTCCTTATAACGTCTTCCGCGAAGGCATCCCTTCCTTTATGGAGATAGCCTTCGAGGCTTTGCCGTAATCACATAAACCAAACCAAACTGACAGGCAGACGTACAAGAGGGTGGAACACTAAAATTTCACCGTTACAGGTATAACCACCATTATAGGTACAGAACAAAGTCCGTAATCCGGACTTCCATTATCCGGAATGATCTATAATCCGGACCTCAAAGCCACAAACTTTTTTTGTATGCTTTAAGTATGCGCATTACGCGTTTATGCATGCGTGTTTAATGTATAACAGACGGTATAAGCTAGGCTAAAATTATCTTTTCTGATTCTAAGGCATTTCAGTTAATGTTGCGTTTAATGTATAACGGACGGTATCAGCTAGGCTAAAATTATCTTTACTGATTCTAAGGCATTTTAGTTAATGTTGCAGTTCCTTAATCTTCTAATTGGATCCGGCTTATTATTTTTTGCATATTATGTCAAAAAGAGTTTCCAATTCTAAAGCTGCCAAAGGGTCACAAAGAGAAAGCATGTTTCGATGTACCACTTCCGATAGTGAAGAAAGTGACAGAGAGGTTATTGAAAATGAAAAAATTTCGATTGACAAGTTAGTCGGTATTCTCGACACACCAATTACAGGACTTGAACAGTGTGGAACTCAACAAGAAATTATGTCTGTTTATAGAATTAAAAAGAAAGTATTAGCACAAAAAACGAAGCAACTTAAACAACTTACATTGAAAGAAATGTTTAATAAAGTAAACAAATAAATATTGAGCTTTTTTTTTCCTCCGATACCCTTTAGATCATAATTGCTCTTTATTTCATAAATTACTGTTTCATATTTTTAATTGCATCATTTCTGCATGCCATCTTACCAGATCTATAATCCGGAAAAACCCCTAATCCGGAATCTCCGGAGTCCCGACGTGTCCGGATTATGGACAAGACCCGACGGTTTCCCATTCCTCTTTCTCTCTCATCAAAACACTCCAGAGGACTTTCAGCTCGCCAGCATTTTGAACGCCTTCATACCACACAGACGTTGTATAACATTACAGCTGGTCAAGGTAACTGCCATCTTTTACGAGAGTGGCTGCAAGACAAGGCGTGGCACTTTGCAAAATTCTGAAAAGGCTACAGCTGTAATTCTTGTCACCTGATGGTGAATTTTATTTAACATCGCCAGTAACGTCTGCTGGGCCTGCGATTTCATGTAGCTTCAAAAGTTACAAAATATGAGGTCTGGAGACTGTGATGCCCATTCGTGTAGAAAAGAGCGTATAAAAACTCTATCATCGTCATATGTTGATCGCAACACATACTGGACAAGATCTATGTAGAGGCGCTCCATCCTTCGTGAAAGTAGCATTATTGGAGCACTTACTTCTCTTACAAGAAGTTTAATAATGTTGTCTCTCAAAACCGCTGCGTAACGCTCAGCTGTGAGAGAAATAGTTTGAAATTTACCAGTATATACTTCTTTAAAGAAGGTGCGTATATTGAATAACAATGCAAACTTTCGCCAACCTATCATATTTGGCTAACACAAAGAGTTCGCCACAATCGCGTGTGTGTTCTCTCTCACTAAAATACGAAATTTAATCACGTGTATACGTTTAGAGTTCATTTAAGAGAAAAGTGCGCGTCGTCAGTCCACGGAAGGTTTGACAGCCACTCTGCATTGTTTTGCATGTGTTGAAATGTCATGAATTTGTACTGGACCTGTCTTTAAATCGGTTCTAGCAAATTTTGGATTTTGTAAGGATGCATCTTTATGATTCTAAGTGATCATCAGACAGTTCAGTTCTTCGTGAATGGTATAACGCCGGTTTTCGTCTGTCAAATGAAAATATAACCATTTTAATCCCATGTCTTTCTAAACTTCTCTGTAAAAATCGCGTCCTGCTACTGCGTACTTTTTTATTATTGTATTTTCCCCCATAAGTATTATATCACCCAGTATATTATTTTGTTACCTTTGGATTACTCGATATACAGTCAGAAATTAATTTTTATTACCATATATTTAATATTTACATATATTAATGTATTACCTTCTTTTTACAAATTTCTTCTGCAGTTCTTTCTTTTTCTCAGAATAAATATGGGTCTGTTGTTCTGAGGAAAAACCATTGTGAGAACCGATAACTCGTTACTGTATGCTTAATGGGTCAGGTTAAAAAATGTTGGGAAACACTGTTATAAAAGCTTCGTTTTAGCTGTTTTTCCAATATTTTGGATTCTTGCCGCAAAGAAATAAGATGAATACTCACTAAATAGAAATTTTATTTTTAAGTATTAATAATGTCATTAGACTTGCTAATAGAACTGATATTTAAGGCAATAATGTGTACCTACTCATTTTTTTAACCTTTCCTCTAAATTCAAGGTAAAGGAGCAGTTTGTCTAAGGACTGACAGATTTCCATATTCAACAAATTTTATTTAACAATATTTATTTTATTCCAGTCCTCAATATCCATAAATGTTTTACACATCTTATTTCATAAAGTGTGTATTTCCGTCCTTTTCCTCCTCTCCGTACACGTATAAATCTTTCATGTATAGTTTTTAAAACAAGTCAATGAAAGTGCATACACAACATAATTTGCTCTGAATTTTGTCAATTAATCTTCAGGTTGACTTTTTATCTCTTGTATCTGTCAAATTCTCATGGCAGATATTTTTTGTAACATTTTTCTTAGTTGAGAGTATTAGGTATTCATATTCTTATTATTGAAATTATATATTTTAATATCCATTTTCATTGATACATTTTTCAAAGAATTTTTTTATTTTTTCAGCAACAAGAATTTGAATGAACCAGACATCGAGGTAAAAAAAAAAAAAAAAATTATTCCTTTATTTTTTTTATTTATTTATGAAACAATTGCAGTAATGCGCACATATGCATTTTTATCCTGTTGTATTTCTTTTGCAAATATGCAAAAGAGTTTTCCCTTTTTATGAGTATGTGTATAAGGAAAGGTGAATTAGTTTTAATGCTCATCTCAATAATAATGTCAATGATTTTTAATTTCACATTTTAGGAAACATGCCTAACCCTTTCTAAGACATTTTAATATTTATTTGCAGGAAAAATTTGCTCGACTGTCGCTTGCTTTCAAAACTGATAAATTTACCTTGGGAAAACGTCTGGAACTACAAGCTCGACAAAGAGATATCGCTGAAAAAAATATTGAAGTCGAATTAAAAGCCTTAAGGGAATCTTTAAATGTAAGTCTAAAAATGTGATTTACGTTTCTTCCCTCTTCTTCTTTTACATGTTCTCTGAAAGTACGTAACTCTCTTTCAATTAAAAATAAGTCTTTGGAAATGCGTTTGTTTCCCGTCATTTGCTTGAAATGATACTGTGATGCTTATATCTTGGGATTATAAGTCCAGTTTTTCTCATTCAAATTAAAGATGGAACGAATTTTAAATTTTCTTCTCCTTTAGGTAATTAGTGTTCTTAAATCTCAATTTTTTAATCTATTAATTAATAAGAAAAATAAAGATTAAAAAAATTCAGCGTTAAGTAAAAGTTTTTAATTAGAGCAGAATTTGAAACTGTGTATAATGGGAAAACAAGCTTCAAAATACAGTTAATAAAAATCATTAAGCTACAAATGAAATTTAGTAAATGAAGTGTGTAATTAAAACTCTTAAGTCTTTGAGGTCCATTCTCTCATTATAATTTGAATCCTTACTATTATTTAAATGACAGAGTGAATTTTTCACAGTTTATCAAAATGTTTGAGAGTGTAGAGCAGGAAAATTATTTCAAGCACTAAACATGGAACCCTGAAATCTCTCAACAAAATTAAGAGGCATTCAAGACTGCCATGAGGTGATACTGGTAATTCAGGCAAAGAACTTTCAGGTGTGCTAAAATTACAACAGTCACTTTCTTCCCGAAATGAACGCTTCTTATAAATATCAGTGACTTATCTTTCCAAATTTTTGGCTTAAAACAATGGATTTTTTGGGTCGGGTTTCGAAAGATTTGAATGACAGAAAAAATGGGAAGGTATTCAAGTTACCGAATAATCGGAATTCCGAAGATACATGGGTTCGAGAATTCGAATATTCCATCTCTAATTTTAATCTGTTATCCTGCTATTAAGACATATGCTATAATTGAATTTAAGAAATATATTTTAATGCATAACACCAGGCAGCAGTATTTGACATATTTGCCACATTTAAATACTGAAATTCGAGTTGATTTCAAATCTGGTTTCCAAACTCTCCTATTAAGCATCGTTTTTTAAGAAATTAATGTTTTACTTTTTTCTTAAAAATGCAGTAATTTAGCATAAATGTATAATCTGTAATAACTAGAGGTAATTAAATTGGTTATCATAAATTAAGGAAAAATCAAAAAATAGCGATAACTTCCTCAAAAATAAGCCAAACCGTGTAAAATTCGAATATGTTGCCAAGTAAGAATAGCTGAGTAAAGCTGCTGTATGCAAATTAGTGACGCTGCTTTCGGAATACGTCATCTGCGAGGAGCATAAAAGTCCGTGTTTGAGAGCAAGCCCACATATTTCATTGTGATAGTGACATCAGAAATCTGAGATACCCAATTCGTAACAATGACCTCCAGGCATCATTTGCCTGCAGAACTGCGATGGAGAGCATTGAGAGCAGGACAAAGTCAAACAGAAGTGGCCAGATGGCTAAATGTGAGTCCTTCTGTGGTTCATAGACTTTGGAGGCAATTTCAAACCACAGATTCGGCATCTAGAAGGTTCAGCCAAGGACGGCCAACTGCTACAACGAGCGCCGATATTTGACACTATGTGCACGCAAGAATAGAACCCCTACTCCGACTCTTCTTAGATCCTCCCTTGCTGCAGCCACCGGAAGGTTCGGGTCAAAGTCAACTGTGCGTTAGAAATGCTTCACGAAGGTGGTCTGTGTGCGAGGCGACAAGCCATTTGTGTGCCGCTCACGTCACGCCATAGGAGGGACCGTTTTCAGTGGGCACGACAACATGTCCACTGGACGCCTGATCAATGAAGGGCGGTTCTCTTGACGGATGAGTCCAGGTTTAGTCTAGAAAGCTATAGTAGGCGTTATTTGATATGGAGTGAACCTAGAAACCGTTATCATCCGTCAAACATCCGTGGAAGAGATGCATACGGAAGGGGCAGTGTCTGTGTTTGGGGTGGCATCTCTTTGGGTGTCCGCCGATAACATTGCGGCAAAAACATCGCGGACGAAAACGTCGCGGAGAAAACAACGCAAGGCGAAAATGTCGTGCTACAAAACATCGCAGTTCTAAAACATCATGGTACAAAACATCGTCGTCGAAAATAAAGCGGTTCAAAAACTTCGCAGTTTAAAAACATCGTCGTCGAAAGTATCGTGGTAAAAAATAAAGTATCTACAAATCATCGCATGATGATAACATCGCAGACATGCTTTTTTCAGGCTTTAATAACTGTAAATGGATATTCCCATAATGATTTGTGAGCGCAAGATGTAAAGAAGGATAATTTTTACTTTCATATTTTTTATATTAGAGCCTGATTGAACGTATCTTATTTCTTGAAAAGCACATTCTTAACTTGAATTTTGAAGTACAGTGGAAGAAATTCGATCGCATTTATCCCTTTTATACACTGTTATTTTGATACAATTGATGATAGAAAATTAAGTCGCAACATATTTCCGTGACAGCAAACAAAAGCAGGAATTCGATGCCTTTAAGTTAAAATTTGGAGCAAAATAATTAAATTTCAGTCGGATCTGTCCCCATTTGCTAATGATAAGTTTTGATTCCCGGATTTGAAATCATCATCATTAGCTGAAGTATTATTGTAAGCATCTGCATCATGAATGTTATGCAACAATCAAATTGTACGGATTAATTTTGAAGTGACGAAGTTTAGAGCAAGCTATTCTAAGCAGTTACTAGGCTCACCAACAGTCAAGCTGTAAAGTCATTGAATATTGGTAGTTCAACCTGGGTTCAATTCCAGGCAAACGGGCTGACTGCATGAGTTTTTTTCATGGTTGTCCCCCATATGTAACATGGGTATGAACCAGTTTCCCTCAGAAAACTTTCCACGAAGATATTAATCCCCTTAGAGAGGTGTAGCATGCTTTACTTAATAAATTTTGCTTTACTTTGTAATGTTGTGCGCTTCCAACCTGCACGCAACAATAGTGGTGACTGCTAAGAACTGGAAAGTAGACAAAGTCTTGAGAAGGGTTTAAATCCCTTTTTATTCAAAATTACAAATGTGTGCTCTTGACGCTCACAAACTACGCCGACCCAGCGGTAAAATAAAAATGAGAAACCAAGAAAAGAATAGTAACAAGTGACTAACTACGAGGCTCTCTAAACGTAACTAACCTCACCGTGTTCTAAAATACCGCTGATAATTCAGCAAACTTCTGAATATTACGTTGAAAGATTACCAAACTGTCGAGGCAAGCACACAGGCTGAAACGCGTGGTTCTTAAATTTCTAACTAGCCACCTCCACGCTCGTGAAGCAAGAAAGCACACTTTCGAACTCGTTTCCCTTCTATTTAACTCAGATTACTTCCGCTGACAATTTGAATCCTTGCGCATTCTACTAAAATTTACATACTCTGGCATTGGCAATTCCACGGGAAAGTAAGGCTTGACAGGAAAGATAGTTTAAACTTAAAATAAATGTTAGTTAAAATAAATATAAACCCTACAACTTAATTAATTAAATAAACCAAAACAACTTATAAACTGTTACTGTGTTTAGGACAGAAGAGGGAAGCAACCAAATTGAAATAGACAGTTAAAATAGAGACTCTTGTAAATTAAAGTTAGTATTTGACCTATATATATATTTAAACAAATTTAAATTCTTAACAAATACGTATAAAAGTAAAAAAGCAAATTTAAATTCTAAAAAAAGGAAAAAAGCCAAAATAATTTAAAAATATGCAAACATGTAAAATATTTAATTCTCGAACTAATCTACAATATCATATATATATAATATATATATATATATATAACAGCAAGGTAGTTAGTAAAATATTGTATGACCATTGGTCTAGATAACATTTGCGCAAATATGCTGCAAAAAAGTAAATTAGAAATAGTAGTAAGCTCGCCTAAAAGTTACCAGGAGCTGTGGCCCGAAAAAGTTCAACACGTTTTTAAAAAACAATGTCATTGAAGGGTGAGAAATATGCTACACGAGAAAGGAAAAAAAACATAGTAAAATACTCAGTGTTGGAAACTAGTAATGGCAAAAAATACAGTAAAATACCTATGGATGTGCCATTTGATATATATATGTATTTAAAAAAAGAAATTTAAATTAATCTAATAATCAAATTAAAAACTAATTTAGTCATTCCATGTAAAATTATGCGTCAATTTTAATGTATATTTTGCACCCTACAAGAATACTACAAATTTTCTTAGTATTTTCCTGTTTATAATAACTTTCACTTGTACATATTAGGCTTTGAACCAACTATGCACAGAGTCAGATATGCGAGAAGTTATAACAAAAACCCAGCAGCATGTAGATATTGTTCAACAAGCCACAATGAGGATGTCTAGTCGGGCCGAGACTTATGGAGCTGTCCAACAAGTAAATATTATTCTATTACTTGTACGGTTAATATGAAAAATATCTACAGTCAAAAGTCTTTAATCCGGAATGATCTATAATCCGGACCTCAAAGCTACAAACTTTCTGCGTATGCGTAAACGCATAAAACCTTTGCGCATGCGCATTTACGCATGCGCGTTTAATGTATAACAGATGGTATAAGCTAAGCTAAAATTATCTAATTATCTAATTATCTATTTCAGTTAATGTTGCAGATTGTGTTGTTCCTTAATCTTCTAATTGGATCCGGCTTATTACTTTTTGCAGACTGTTAGAGCAATTTTATAAAAGTAAGCTTGAACTTTCGATTATGTAAAAAAGAATTTCCAATTCTGGAGCTAAAGAATCTACAAAGCGAAAGCATGTTTCGATGTCCATCAAACAAAAAGTGGAATTGCTGCAAAAAATTGATAAAGGCATATCCTTTGTTTCTCTAACATCCAAAAATCTGTTTATCAATTCAACTCTGCGCGGGGGGGGGGGGGGGACATCGCGGCATGCAATGAACTGGAAGTTGATCTGTCAGCACTATCCTTATCTTCAGGCAATGTTTTTATTTTATTCGGCTTATAATTCCTTACTAAATGTAGTATTTCATCTCGATGTACTAGGTCTTGATATGATTTAAATCAAATTCCGTCGTTATAAATATCACGAATAAATCAAACAGTTTTTTTGGTTGCAATTTTCTAATTCGTCTATGCGTACTGTATGCTTTTACGCTGCGCGCGTTGAAAGAAATGTTTAATAAAGTAAACAACTAAATATTAAGCTTTTTTTCGTAAATTTTGATAACCTTTAGATCATAATTGCTCTTTATTCATAAAGTACAGTTTCATATTTTAATTTTAAATTTTGCATGCCATTTTTACCAGATTTAAACTGATGATTTATAATCCGAAAAAACTGATAACCCGGAATCGCCGAAGTCCCGACGAGTCCGGATTAAAGACTTTTGACTGTATATAAAATAATAGTTTGATGCAAAATTTATATTAAATTGTGTCAGTCCTATTCCTTACTTTCATAAACAAACACTTTTTCACAATTTAAGAAATTATATCTCTTCTTAATGTATAAATACAGTAAAAATTACGTAATTGTGTGTTATATTTATTGCACTATTTTAAAAAAGCTGACCTTTTAAAAATGTATTGTAATAAAATGATACACACATTTACATAATTTATTTCATATAACTTTACAACAAAATGATTATTAGTCACTTTTATTCTGAATTTGTATGTGTGTCTGTAAAACTCTTATAATTTTTTTATTTTGAAATGAAATAATGTATACAAATAAAGAACTTAATTATGTTTTGTACAATTATGATTTAAAATTTAGAAACAGAAAGAATATTATATATGACTGTTTTTAATTTCATGATTTGAAGAAGACACTTTATAATTTTTAAAACAAAATTCGTAATATTTGAAACAGATTTTAGAAATGCCCAAGATTTTATTTCAGCCAGAGCCCAGTACTTCTTAGTATTTTAGTGTGTAAGTTAGCTGGGATCCCAAATAAGATGAACTCTAGTATTTTAACTATTTGTTATCAATTGAATTGAATTTATCACTTTACTTAATTTTAATTATTTTTTAATTATTTTATTTATTTGTATTTATTTACCTTTTCTGATAGTCTTTCCTTAAGCTTCTAATGCATTTAATTTTAGAAAATAAGCTCTGCTATTAACATTTGATAAAATATATTAAACATATAGTTGTATTATAAAGATGTAAATGCATTTTCATGATAGTGCTGGTAGGTATGCAAAAGTCTGTCAAAAAATAATGCACAACCGACTGTAGCTAATTAAAAGACTAGATAAATGAAATTTTATAGGTAGAAACATTTGCCTTTAGCCACCTAACCTGTTCTTAATTTTTATTCCTTGTTTGGTGCAAGTAAATCACCGTGGATGATCAGTGTGGCACACTATGCACATCTTGTAGTGATCAAATTCTTCTACAAATCCCAGGATAACTCCATTGATTCAGAGTAAGCTATTACCAGTGCTGGGGGCAACATAATGACTTGAAGTAATGTGTGTTGATAGCTTCAGAGATTTTGGTGTGGTAGATGAATCCAGTATTAGCCATGGTGTAGTGATAGCATCTAGTATTAGCCATGGTGAGATAGACCATTAACTCATCACAACTGATGAAAATGCATCAGTCATTGAGGAATGCATCCAAAATGACAGATGTATCACCATAGACATGATCATGGTGAAATAAATCATGGAGCACCCAGATATGGCGAAAAGATCTGTGTTTCATAATTCAAAGTTCTGTGTTCTATAATCCAAAGATTGGGATATGGAAAAATCTGTGCTGACTGTGTTACATGTCTGTTGATAAGCTGCTTGTTGGGTTACATGGGTTGTGGAAGATGATTTAAATCAGAATGAATGTGTGTGATCTTCTCTAAACTTTCTATGAAAATTGTCTAGAATGCTTTTATATATTCATCATGTGTGATGAAACTTAGCTGTTTCATTTCGTTCCTGTGAACAAAAGCAGGAAATGGAACAGACATGCATTCTGTTATGGGTACAAAGCTATGCAGTAAGCAGTAAAGCTAATGGATCATATATTGAATTGCATTTTCAAAGGACCAGTGCTTGCACCTATGAAATTTTAATTCTCTGATGCTTGCCATTACTAAGCTACAGAGAATTGTATGTTAATTCTTGATGGACCTTTTTGTAATGTACTCTTTAAAATTCTCATTTATCAGAATATTATTTAAGCTGTCCAAAAATAATTCCCTCTTTCTCATAAACATAATTTCAGTGAAATGTTAATTCCTCCAAAGAAGTCTAAACAGTATTAATTTAGATAAGATTTTAATGAGATTCAATTATTCCATTTAATTTAAGGACGATATAATAAATTAGTTGTACATATTGTGTGTACTACAGATTTGAAATGATGCATTATTTACCTTAAGTAATAAAATTTGAGAGATTTCAATTATTAAGTGATTGTTACAGTAAATCCTCTCTAAACTGGCCACACATAGTTCCAAATAATTTCTCTTTTTTGTGGAGGTTGTCATGTTAGAGAGAGATGATGCTTGTATATGATTTAAGAAATATTGATCACTTTCATGGGTGGTTATCTTAGAGAAATAATTTCCATAATAGGAATTAAGTGTATTTTTTTATTTTAACCGCCTTTAATTTAAAATGTAAATGGCTATTTAGATTTAATGTGAACAGAAAAATGTGCTTTTCCTTAGATCAGTTTTATTCTAGGAACAACGATTGAATTGTGCATTTGAAACTATGTTAAATTATGTTGAACATCTGAAACTCTTGTATGACAAAGAACATATTGAACTGGAAGAATATCGACGTCTGCTGGCAGAGAATAACCTCCTTCCTGATGAAAAAGGGTCCCTTGATGGAGATGATTCCAAACGGTCACTTCCACCGAGATCACACTCTTTGTCTAGCTCATCAAAGCCTGTTAGTATAGAAAAATCCTGTTCTAGTTAAGTTGTAATATGTCTTTTTATGTTTTAGATTTCCTATTTACTAAATTCTTATCCCTACTAAATAGTTCTTATCTATTACTAAAATTCTTCTAAATATTTTATTAATTTTTCCTGAATCTCTATAAACCCATATCCACAAATCTCATAACTGTGTCTTTGTTTATGCTGTATATTATCTTATTTTGTATGTTAGGTTTTAGAAACAAAACAAAAATGGTGGTGGTGATAAATACATTTGTTTTCTAACTCCTTGCGGTGATGGTTTTTATCTTTTCGTATTTCTGAACTAACATATGTTTCTGAGCTTTCATGTCGCCTGTCAATTTTAAGTGAGTTTATATTTTTCTTATTTTAACAATTAAACTATGTAGAAATGATTAAGTGCCAAAAAGTTACAAAAATATATTATTATTCCTTTTTGTTATCTTTTGAAAAAGATTAAAAATTCATTTCCCACTGATTTAAAATTAAATTGAATATGTGCTCTTAATATTGAATAAACAATTATTTATTTATTTTCATGTAACTTGAGCTTAGAAAATGCATTCATATTGATATTAAATTCCAAATCATGAAATTATTTGATGATAATATCTTCTTGCACCTTATAAAATGATGTGTTTTTGAGTTGCTGTTATTATTTTTACATCCAAAAATATAAACAATGTTTTACATATCTATACTGTAATTATATATTTCAAATGTATTTTAATGTAATGTTTGTTGGCAGGAATTCTTGAGACATGGAAGTTTGGGAACATTCATCCGTCCTCCTCACTCTGACACTCATAAAGTAATTAGTCGTGAAAACAGCGCTGGCCATTTGTCTTCATCGGGTGTGAACATGAGTATCGTAAGGCAAAAACTGGTATAGAACTGACTAATCTATCTTCACTCATTCCTTGACATTGTTTATATTCTTTTCTGTGCAGCATACTCATATGTAAACAAAAATCTTTGTCTTATTAGTCTACCGCTTATAAATTAATAAAATTTTGTTCATTTAACAGTAGAAATTAGATGCTAATGAAATATTGCTTTGACTGAAAGCATCCACAAATGGTGTTTTGTTTCTTATGATGACAACAGTTTATTTCTGATCAGGCATTTCACTTCATTTGAAAACATTTGAAAGTTTTTATTTCACCATTTGCAAATGTCTGGGGATGGCAAGTAATGACGTTATGCATAATTATGCAGTGCATTTTGTTTTAATTCAAAATCCATTTTGCAGCTGTAATGTTTTTAATATTAACTCTAATTTTAACACAGGCTCTTGACTTTTATGTTTTCCAATTGTATGTCAGAAGTGCAAGCAACGAGAATGATACTACTTTATGATATGAAATGTGAGTATGGTCTTAACAAAATATATGGTTTTCACAAATCTTTGAATTATTCTAGTCAGCAAGTACTCTTCTCATGGCTCGATAAATGATCTGTCTTCAAATGGGTTGTTAAATGTCCTTCATATACCTTTTACTGTGAGTAAAGGAATGTGATAATTAATAATGAAATCTGCAACTAGCTAACCCTCTGGAACTATACTGTGTCATTTCTAGAACTTTCTTCTATTAGAATAGGCACTTCAAAGACATTTCCATCTTCCCAGATTATCTAGTAACTATGGTAATAACAGCTGCATGGATAGTTGAATACCTTAGTTGTTTTTTACCCCACTTCATTACTGTTTAGTGTGTTTCACTTTGTGGAAAATGCACAAATGAAGGCTGTCTTGAACAGCAGTCTCAGATGAGGTAGAAAAATAAGTACTGTTTGAGGATGATAGTACATGTTACAATTTCAAATGGGAGAGAGATGGAACGGCCTGGAATGACCTATAGCTGAATATGAATTTTTCATTGGATTAATACCCTCTATAGCAGGGTTTCTCAACCTTTCACCATTGCTAGACAATCATTTCCTCCTCCCATTCCAAAACTTGAAAATATATAAACATGTGTTCAGATTTAGATTATTTTTAATGTATTTTATGAATTAAACAAGAAAAAGTAGAAAATGTTAATAAATACAAAATCCCTAATAAAAGCAATTTTTATATTCATAAAAATAATAACAGGTGAGTAAAAAGGCTGACCACATCCACCCCCACTGGTTGAGAATCCCTGACATGTGCAATAGCAGATGTTTCTACTAATATGTTGACTGAATAACTGAATATGTTATATAAAATAACTATGAGTAGAATGAAATAGAGTTGTATAAAATAACTAGATTTTGTGTAGTTTTTATGAACTTAAATATTAGGACAATGTTTATAAGAAAAAAATTATTTCATTTGAATCAGCTGCTACAAATACATCAGTGCTTCATTATCAATAGTTGACTAAAATTATAAAATAACGTAATTGCCTATTCAAAATAGCATAGCGGATTTCATTTAAATAAGCAGCTAACTATAACTTTTTATTTACATACAAATATTCAAAATTTTAATCCTTTAATTTATAATATGTATAAGCAATGATCTAAACTAAAATTTCACTCTTAATAACATATATAAAGGTACAATTACACTGAAAAGTGATTTCAGAAATAAATAATTAAGTAAAACTTTTGTGATACTTCACAGTCTGGAAAAGGGACAATTAATATTTTAATTCACAAAATTAATTTCAATGAACATTATTTTTATTTTAGTACTTTTTTTGCTATTTTTATATTTGAAAAAAGGTAATACAGATGTTGCATATATACATCATTTTGAGTTTCAGTATTTAAATAGTTCATTTGTCATACCAATTTTATCTTCTAAAATTGTTCTGGCATGCTCATTTAGTTAAAGTTGAATTTAAATCAAAAACTATGACAAAAAACAGTGTAGTGTCTTCTTGACATATGATTTTTAATTATTTCATATATGCTAGAATATGCAGACTATCTGTACATATACATTTATTTTTGATATGGCAAATTACACTTGGAGTTGACCAAAATGTTTGTTAAAATTTGGTTAATATATGATACAAAATTATATGTGGATATCATCTGTCTAGATAGGTCCTCAGATGTCTTGGAACCCTAACATTAAAAATAAAAATGTAAATTCTGTACTTTTTAAATGAAGGAAACAAAACTGTTATACTCAACACTAGATGTCAACAAAAACTAGATTATAAATAGGATTATACTTATCTAACTGTGTTTCAAACTTCAAACTGAATTCTGTAACCTCAAAACTCAGTTGAGTTATCCATTAAATGGTCTAAAAATTTAATAATAAATAGTTTAAAAATAATAATAAGTACTATAAAATTTTATTTGATAATAAATTTAATAGTAAATACTATAAAATTAAATTTATTTTATCACCACCACCACCACCATTTATTTTGCTTACTATAAGCTTCCTTCATAACATTATTTTTATATGTATTTGATAAATTATTTGTTTTTATCCCATGTTTTATTTTGGTCTGAATGAAAGTTATTTTATCTTACTTAACTGAATACCTGTTTTGATCGAGAATTATTTTGTATTTACATGCTAGCATGCCTGGAAATCGTTGAGTAAAATACTCGGTGATTAAATGGCGCAAGTATGTGGGTTAATTACTTTCGTAAAGAGTTTTGTTTTATGCTAATTTGTAAATTATTTATTAAATTAGAGATGATAAAATCAAGTCATTTCTGAAGAAATCATTTTAAATATCATTTTCATGTATTTCTAGATTATGTGTATCTATAACCTGTACTTATTTTTTTCACTTATTACCTATTATAGTTGATCTGTACTCAGGAATTTTTCCCTGTTTTCTTTCTTTTTCTCCTATTCTATATTCAGCAATTTCATGAAATTAATGAAAGGTTAAAAGTAAATTTCTTGCTAATAAAATTAACCTGAAGTAAAATGTGTCCATAATTTTTAAGTAGAAAGAGGAATATTAAATATTTCTTTTCATTCAATTTGAACTAAAAGTTAATATTTATTTTAGAAGTTATATTTTGTGTCTTTTATATTACTTGAATTTGTTGTACAAAAGTGTGATGTAAACTGAAGCTTTTATATTTTTAACACTGAGTAAATTCACTGGTTAATTAAAAAAAGGAGGGGGTGTTTCTTACTCTAGTAATACAGACAGTAAATTCAATATGAAGGCATGTTGAAATGAAGAGATAAGAAAAATGTTGTTTGAAATTAATTTAAAATGTAATAAAAATTTAAAAATTCATAAATGGAATTGTATATAATTTAATATTCCAAATTAATAATGTTATTTTAAGCAGCTAGTTTTTAATAATTTTATTGTTGATTATGAAAGTTTTAAACAAAGAAAAAAGAGTAGTTTATCATGTTATTAGTTATTTAGAAATTATAACGTGCTCTTGTGTTTGTGGAAGTGCATTTTTTTTTTCATATTAAAAGCATAAAATAAAATAAGTAGTTTATTTTCAGTTATATTCTATTTATAAAACATACTTTTACTGATACAATCTCTAAGTTTTTAAAAATTTTTTTCCTTAACTAAAAATCGATTCTGTATGCAAAATTTGTTACTTCAATGTTTAATGTTTGAATTATTTTAACTTCTTCAGTCACTTATTTTATGTTCAGCAAATCTTTGCAAATTTCAGAGAAAATTTCTGTTATAAGTAAAAACATATTAGAGAAATATTACTGAAAAAAGTTTTGAAATTCCTGTGAGTCAAACTTATTTCAATTTTTTAATGTAATTTAAATTAAAGAATTTACAAATGATGTTATTGGTATACTGAAGAAAATTAAGTTTATCCATAATAAAAATTCAATAAGAATTAAACTTGGAATCTAACATATAATTTGAGAATTTTTATATAAAATATTTTTATAAAAAATGGGAAAGTGTCGTGCATTTTATTAGTCATGCTTTTAAATTTGTATTACTTATATTTTAGGTTTATGTTTATACACATTAAGCACAAAGTATTCTTCTGTGGAAGAATGCTTCGGAATATTTTCTTCCATATTACAACGCATTTTAATGATATTTAAAATTCATTTTTGTTTATTTGATTTTTTTCTGTGTTTATTTAAATATGAATTATTCTCTGACATTATTAAAATTATTTTTTTAATATTATAATTTTTTAAGTTAATTCTAGTAATTTAACTAGTCTTAGTTTTTCTTTAACTTCAATGATCTATAATCCGGACCTCAAAGCTAAAAACTTTCTGCTCATGCGCCGCCTTGACACATGCGCACAGGCGTTTTACGCGTGCGCGTAAGACCTTTACGACTGCGCATATGCGTGTGTGCAAGCGCAGAATACGTTTTTGCCTGTGCGTTTAATGTATAACGGACGATATAAGCTAAAATTATCTATTTCAGTTAATGTTGATGATTGCGTTGTTGATGACTTCCTTAATCTTCGAATTGGATCAGGCTTATTATTTTTTGCAGACTGTAAGAGCAATTTTATAAAAGTAAACTTGAACTTTCGATTATGTCAAATAGAATTTCCGATGCTGGAGCTCCCAAAGGATCTACAAAACGAAAGTATATTTCGATGTCCATCAAGCAAAAATGTAACATGCAAAGATCAATAAAAATCTTTGCATGTTACATTTATTGACAATTTTCACATGTTAATAATGCTAAAGTGGTTTTATGATGAAAAGCGGTTATATATTTTATGTGACTATCAAATTATCAAACAGCATAGTTATTATAATAAGAAATTGAAGTTTTTTAAATTAAGTTGTAAGGGTTTATATTTATTTTAAATAACCAATTTATTTTAAGTTTATGTTCTTTCCTATAAGCCTTCATTCCCCTAATTGTCAATGCTAGAATATTTAAATTTGGTACTGCGCGTGAAGAAATACAAATTCTGCCCTCAAGAGAAAAAAATTTAAATACCTAGTTTTAGAAGGAAAGTGAGAGAGTTTTGAGTATTCGCCGTCATCTCTGTAGCATGAGCTTTTCTTTCCACAGTTATTGCTGGTTTATGTGGTCTAACAGCTATTTCTCTGCTGCCACTATATTTCAATGCTGTTTTAAGTACAGTCAAAAGTCGTTAATCCGGACTCGGCTTGACTTCGGCGAGTCCGGATTATAGATCATCAGTTTAAATCTCGTAAGATGGCATGCAGAAATTCTAAAATTAAAAATATGAAACCGTAATTTATGAAATCAAGAACATATTTATGATCTAAAGGGTATCAAAATTACAAAAAAAAGCTTAATATTTATTTGTTTACCTTTATTAAACATTTCGTTCAATGTATGTTGTTTAAGTTGCTTTGTTTTTATGTGATAATACTTTCTTCTTTAATTCCTATAAACAGACATAATCTCTTTGTTCAGTTACAAAGTTTCGCTGTTGAAGTCCCATGGAACCGCTGTTTGCCGAGCATTACCGACTAACTTGTCAATCGAAATTTTTTCGTTTTCACTAACCTCTCTGTCACCTTCTTCATGTCTTTATCCATTTTTTGCAGCAATTCCACTTTTTGCTTGATGGACATCGAAATATACTTTCGTTTTTGTAGATCCTTTGGGAGCTCCAGCATCGGAAATTCTATTTGACATAATCGAAAGTTCAAGTTTACTTTTATAAAATTGCTCTTACAGTCTGCAAAAAATAATAAGCCTGATCCAATTCGAAGATTAAGGAAGTCATCAACATTAACTGAAATAGATAATTTTAGCTTATATCGTCCGTTATACATTAAACGCACAGGCGAAAACGTATTCTGCGCTTGCACACACGCATATGCGCAGTCGTAAAGGTCTTACGCACACGCGTAAAACGCCTGTGCGCATGTGTCAAGGCGGCGCATGAGCAGAAAGTTTTTAGCTTTGAGGTCCGGATTATAGATCATTCCGGAAAATGGGTGTCCGAATTAACGACTTTTGACTGTAACAGGAGTTTTCTGAGCCCTGTAGCATGATTTCTACTACTTGTTAATACCTTCGAATTTTTATTTTAGTTTTTGTGATTTAAGTTTCTGCCCGAGTGAGGTGTAGTGTGTAGCATCAAGTCGAGGCAGTGTGAATTTAAAGAGTTTAATAAAGGGTACTTTTAACCCTTCTCCTGTGTAGTTCTTACATGCACAGTTGTAACTTAAAAGATAAGCAAGTGGTTCTTACAAAGTATTCATCCACTAGTAATTTAATATATTCATCAGAAAATAACATTACTGCATAACTCACAACTAATTTATCTTTTTCTTCAGGATGATCTTCACTTTTGCTGAAACTGGGCTTCATAATGTTTTTAAGAATTTGAAGCACAGTTGATTTTCTTTTAGCAGATTAGTGGATTACTTGATATGTCGTTTGCATTCTGAAAGTTCTAACAAATGATTTAAAATAATAATTTGTGTGTAACATACTGTAAAGCTATTAAAGCATTTAAAAGAATGAATATGAAAGAATTTTTTTTATTTTAGGAAGCCAGAACAAGACTGTTAAGTTCCGTGTGCTTATTGAACAACAATTATGAATCACCTCGCAGTGCTGCAAATGGAAGCACTACTCCTTCATCTGGATCTGTATCTCCCAAAAGTAGACGTTCCTCACTTCCTGTAGGACCTCTTGCACAGTCTTCTCATTCGTCAAATAGTGTTACACAAATTACCTGCGGAAATCGAACTCACAAGTACATAAGTGAGACTAAAAATGAAGGAAAAGAAAGGTTTGTTTCTAAATTAGACTAAATCTACACTAAATTAAATAATGTACCTGTATTCTTTTGATTTTTTTCTTTACTGTAAATTAATTCCATAGATAAGAATTTTCTCTTATTAATTCATGTGACAATACATCTGACTAAATGAGAAAATTTGTATTTCTGACTCAATCTTTACATTGCAAAACAGGCAAAGTAGTATACTTTGAAGAGTGTGAGTTATATGAGGCTTTCTTTAAATAAAAAAATTAATTTTGATATTTCCTACCCTCCTTTTTATACATAGAACTTGTTGCCATACCAGTATTCAGATTTTTATTTCAGCTGAGAAATAGCAAGAATCATGCCCAAATAACTAATGACAGTTACACTTATTTTTAATTATAATATGAGCTAAAACTTTGAACATCATAAACAATAGAATCCAAACTAAAACTAAAGATAATCAAGAACTTATAATCCAACAGAGAGAAATATGAATATCAGTATTCATGAAAGATTAATTTCGCAAAAAGTGCCTCTACACATTCTAAACAAACTGCTTGATACAAAACTGCTAAGCTGATTTATTTCTAATTTTTACATTCATCTAATCTGTTGCAATTCACTAGTTTATAAATTAGAAATGTTATTATATGTTGCCATTCACAAGTCTCTAAATCAGAAATGTTACATGTTGCTATTCACAAGTTACTAAATTCTACATGTTACACCTAGTAACTTCTGAAATTCATTCTGAATGTTTTTACGGGATAGAAACAGTAACTTCAATCTCTTCAAAGATGGTTTCAATCAAAAAAATAAACTTAGGATCCAAATTTGAAAAACTGTTTCTGAAAAAACTGCTGCGATTGCAAAACCTTATGGCTTAGGCTTAGTTATTTCTTAATTCATGGGGGAGCAGCTAATTTTATCTCTCCACTACTAAAATGCATATTTTGTGTCAGACACATCAGCTAATATTATAATATAATACCACAGTAATGACTGACCACTGTAAATGAAAATTATTTTCAACATACAGTTTTTTCAACATTAAAAACTTTTATTAATACTGTTTCCATTGAACTCCCAGCTTTTCTTCATCTAGGAGAAAAACTTTACCACCACTTACAAAATATGTTGCTACTCATTGTTGACAATTACAAATCAAACTAGTCCATGTGGTAACAATAAAGTATATTTAATTTAAATTGCAGGGAATCTAGAATATATTTCAATTAAGAGAATTCTAAGAAACATTCTAATCTTAGTACAACGGCTTCTAAATTTAGTTGACAATGTTTCATTCATTTAAGCAGCCTAATATTATTGCCAATCATTTTTAATGCAGTATGTGATGTAAATTTTGCATTCCTTTGCAATTTCAATTAAATATTACAATCAAACATATGGAAATTATAAAATTATAAAATGGATAGCCAAAGCTGTTTCACAATGCACAATTTGATGGTTTTTGAAATTATTAGCAAAATGTTTTTGGAATCTGAGTTCTATTTGGTTTTGATCATATGTTAATTTCATTAATTATTTGTAGAAAATTTTCAACAAACTTACATATAATACTTTTGTAGTTTTCATTTATTGTACAATAAATTTATATTCCATATAAATGAGTTCTAAGTTAATTTGCAGTTAAATATTGTAAAAGTAAATTGACAATATAATTTTAAGTCTTTGCTTCTTAATTATTGGGGCAAGATTTTTTTAAGAATTTGCAAATACTGCAGAGAGGGTTAACATATTTTAGAATGAATTGGGGACCATTTAATTAATGTTTAAAATGTAAAGAGTATTTAAATATATGATCTGATAGTCTTTTTTTCTGGACTCTTTTTCTTGGATTGGGATTTCCATGATAGAAGGACTTTTCAAAAAATTTCTAAGGGTACTGTCCTGATTAATAATATGCAGTATGTTTTGGATGCTTCAAAGTTCGCAGTGATTCATCAGTTCCCAGTTAAATGTTATTTTAATTTTATGTATATATATATATATATATATATATATATTCTTTTTGAAAGATTTGTGATAACCTGAAGCTAAGCATTTTATATGGAAAGAATAAATAACCTGAAATCATTAACAATGATTCAAAAAAATATGAAATAAATTTAGCTTCTAATGACTGAAAACATATTAAAGTGCAAAACAAAACAGTTCCATGTGCTTAAATTACTTCAAAAATTTTAGGCAGAATCCTAAATTTTCTTGAATCCAAGCTGAATCATAAAGGATTCTCAAGTTAAATTTTTTTTCCTTGCACTGGATATGATGTTTCTTTTGCATTTATCTCGAAAACTGTGGGTCATACAGGTGCAGTTCTTCGAGCATTTTTTATGTATTCCAAGAGAGGAATCTGGCTGTGCAGTTTGGTCAGATTGGGAATCTGCAGATAAACAGTATAATTTTTTTCTCCAAATTATAAATTTATAATTATTCTCTCAAAAAATTAAGAGCATGTCATTAAGGCATGTCATGGAATGATGTTAGTAATCCTTTTCAAAGTTCTGAGTAAAAATATTTAATGCATTTTAATTTTGGTTTGGAATTTTAATTTTGAGTTTTAAATGTGCCATCATTAAAAATTATGCCACTTAATCATTCTTTTAAAATATATTTTTAATAATTCTTAACTACTATTATTTTATATTCAAATATTTTTATTCATTTATTTATTTTACATAACACAAGCTTATGGCCCCTTAAGTTTCATTTCTTTTCAGTCAAGCTAAGCACCTTCAAGAAAATGTTGCTTCTATACTGAAAGCAGAGTCATCTGATTCTGCTTTTGGTACAGAAGAAATGGAAACTCACAAAGATCCACAGGCTCAGTCTGCATATGAAAAGGAGACTTCTCCTCAAAAAGACAGTAGGTGCGCATTTACGTACTATTTAAAGCAAGTATTTTGTTAGAATGTTTAGAGGTAAAATTGAATTAAAATTTAGAGGTTTTTTATAAGCACAGCTGTTTGCAGTTTTATCTGAAAAAAATATATTAGTAAATAATATGCATCGAGAATTGGGTTAAAATTGTTGAATCATTGTTACGTTATAGTTCTTATGTTTATTAATTTTACATCCAGTTGTAGTTACCCTTGACATACACTAGATTTAGAAGCATCAACATTATATGCAGTTTTAAATATGTGTACAATACCTGATTCCTCATAAATTAACATTTACTAACCTGCTGTTAAACAAAACCCATAAATGTAACATGAAAGTTCAGAGGAATATACATATACATTATTCATGTTCATACATACATTATCTGTTGCATTCTTATAATAAAGTAAACTAGAAAGAAGAAAACATTTCCAAGAGAAAATCAAAACGAAGAGAAAATATATCTATTATTGCAATGCATTCATCAAGATAATATATTCAAGTCATCTGTTCACTACATGAATCATTCTGTCTGTAAATATACCTTCATCAGCATTCTCTTTTTAGGTACAAAACACTGTAGATATTTTACATGTTACTAACATTGGACATGAGAAATGAGAAATTGTGTAACAGGAGAAATATTTGAGAATCTCCAAGAATTTGATTATTAAATTATTGTTACAGTATAGGTATAATTACTATACTTATAGTTACAGTATAGATCTTTGTTTTACCATGTTATATCTGATTGAATGTACCCATGAAGTACATCATTATTAATTATACCAAGCAATTCAATTTTTCATTCAGACATTATGACTTTTTGCTTTTTTAAGAGGGATGCTGCCATTACTAATGCATTTTTTAAATGAATTATTGTATTAGATAAGATCTGTTCTACTACTTCTGATGTGCAGGACTTACTGTACTTAGAAGAAAGGATAATTTATTGATTAGATTCAAAGTAAAGAAATGCAAACATATGAAATTATAAATTCATTGTGTTTTCAGGATCCACATTAAGGAGAAAAATAAGTTTTGAAATATAAACAAATAATGTTGACAAACAAATAATGACAAAAATATGTTTGTTAGGAAAGTAAAATGCCAAATGTCTTTGAGTCAAAGCTATGAGCAACACAATGTAATTTAATAAAGTTAAGGATTTAAGACAAATTATAACAACAGAGTATTTTGAATTTATACAAAGAAATCCCAGGTCATTAAATACATGATGAAAATGGAATCCTCTAAAACAGCTAAATAAAGCAGTTTGTTATTTACATATTTTTTAGTACGTCTCAAACAGAAATCTTTGGCACTTAGTTGAATTGCAAATGTCAAGTCAAAAATGCACTTAATATTTGTAACATTAAGCACATAAAAATTGCAACCATAACATGTCAGAAGAGATGATACAAAAATTAACATTTATTTTTTCTTTCTTATATTATTTATTTCATTAGTATCTCTCAAATAATGAAAAAATTATTCTGTAAGAAATTTTTTAAGTATTTATTGTTTATTTTTAAGTTGTTCTAGGCCATATTTTTTTCTTATTTTTGTATTTTGTGAACATCATTCTAGAGTTCTATAGCTCATTCTGTAGTTCTTCTATCTGTATTATGATTAGTATCTTAATCTGTATGAAATGTTTCATTTGAAATTTGACAACTAATAAATCATGGATTTTCTTCCATACAGTGATATTTTTTCATGTTCTCCAGAGCTAACTCTATTTCTACAGTATTTTTTAGTGTGTCCAAATTTTAGGCATTTTAAGCAGTTCTTGGGCTGAAGAAAAGGCCTGGCTGGGTAAGATTTCCATCTAACTGTCAACCTGTTACTCTTCAAGATTTTCACCTGACATTTTGCATTAATGCTGAAAACTCTGAGACTAGTACAATTTTCTCTATCTTTGTTCATATAAAATAGAAATAGGACACAATCACCGGAGCAGGCGCAATCCAGTTTAAACTTTTCCACAATTTTTTCATTTTATATAAAATTAGAAACATTATACTAAATGGGATAAAGTTTCTGCTCTTAACATATACTCATATTCCGCAAATTTTGCTTTTCTTCAGACCCCTTACGAAGTTTCTTTGTGGCATTCTTATCCTTTATTAAAAAAAAATCTCCATTTTTCTTATGATGAGGGTTCAAAACTGCGATATTCACGTCCTCTGGTTGTAAACAAGAAGATTACTCATCAAAAACATCAATATCAGTGCATTTCAAGGTCACTTCATTTCCTCAATTTTGTAAATTTTTTTTTTTCCTTTCCAACATTTTTAACATTATCTCTTCCATTCCCTTTATTTTTAAGTAGATCTTTAATTTCAACCACATCTTTCCTAATATTCTTCAATTCATCATATCTACTTTTAATAATATCACTTTCAATCATATTTGCACTATGCATCATTGCAATATCCGTAAAATCTTATCAAGTGCTGCATTCATTCCTTCCAAAATTGTTCTTGACACACCTTTTTTAAGATCTGCTATCCTCTGCATGAAATTATAAATTTCCTTAACTACAGTAATCAGAAGCGCCAACAGTTTTTTTTTCCCAAGATACTCATCTCTAAGTTATCTTTTTACACTATTACATCATTCAACTCACTTTCATTTTTATTACTAGTAATACTATTCTCATGCATAAGTTTTTGAAAAATTCATAGTTTTTAGAACCCATTTTATGTATACTTATATCGCAAAATAAATTATTTCTCCAAATAAAATCTAGCACATAATCTTTCAGAAACACATACACATCATTAAAATATTGACAACTGCACAAAGTCTTATGTACAAATACAAAAGTATAATGTTAAATGCTCACGAGAAGTGTAACTCAAAACACAAAAATTCAAGTCTGGAGTTAATTTTAGCTAATTTTCAAAAATTCGCCCAGTGAGCAGATTACAATGAAAACACTCTCAAGGAAAAAACGTCAAATGCAAAACTCAATGATTAAATTCAGTTTCACTCAAACTTGATTAAATGTAAACATTGCTCTCTCCGCTAAGCCTAACTGCAGTTAGAATTTTGAAACTCTGATACTTTCAAAAGCAGTGCATATGACTTCAAAACATTGCTAAAAATGCAAACCAAAGCACTTAAGCAATAGAGTAAATGCATTTAAAGCACACAGTAGAGTCTATTTATTTAAAAATAATTTCCTCAAAGGTAAACATTGTCTTCCTCACCTGGCCAACACCAGGTAGAAAATTTAATCACTGATATCTTCACATTTTCAAGTATGATATACATATTTAGATATATATTATATGGTGCATGATACATATTATTATTTTTAGATATATATTATATGACATACATATTTTCAAATGTAACTATTAATTGACATATAAGAACAATTTATTCTTGCAGTATATTTCTGTCACTGTAGCTTTTACCAAAGCATGATTTGATGCTTTTGATTAAAAAAAATATATATATATCTTTTCGTATTATTTATTTGTGTATACATATTATAATGCAAAAACAAAATATCATTGAATTATCATTGAAAAGATATAGCAGCATGGATGCAAAGTAAAATTAAAAGTATAGATACATCTAGATGGGGAAAATACACTCTGTCACGAAAAATATGTGCACCCAGAAGAAACCAAGCCACAATCACAAAACTTGGCAGGAATGTAGTCTGGTAAGGGATATGCAAATGATTTAAATTTCAAAGCCAATGAGACAAGGCTAAGTGCACTATGCGCATATGAGATGCTCAGCTGAGAGAGTTTAAAACCATAACTGCTTCTGCCCTATTCAAATGAATTAGTCAACTTGGATGGATGGTATTGTGACTATACATTAGGGCTGTGGAGTCTGTAAGGAAAATGACCAACTCCGACTATGGCTCCTGGAATTTTAAAGACTCTTACTCCCTCATATGTAAACATATACACATGTGTTACAGCTTGTTTTTTAATATAAAAGAAGTAATACATGCTACAAGAAAAAAAAATGATGGCATAGCAGATTATTTATATTAATTAGCAATTATTATGAAATGGAAAAACTGGCATTAGTAATTTCTAGGAAACGGGATAGCTTCGGCAAGATCTTCTTTAATAAAGGACCATAGATCCAATTTGATAAACTTCAGAGCTGAGAATACTCTTTCCACGCTAACTTCAGTAGGAGGAAGAGCTGTTAATGTTAGAGCTACTTCTTTTAACTTTTCAGGATAGATTTGTATAAGTCCTAAAAGAGGTGTTTTGCAAGTGTGATCATATTTCTATGTTTCTTCAAGGGTCGTTTAGAAATCTTGTTTATATTTTTTTATTTTTATATCTAAAGTCTCTTCGTTCCTTATTTTCATTCGCTTTACCTTAACCTTTTCAATATTATCCAAATATTTCTCAAAATCTAATTCTCAGTGGAAGAGGATGATAGAGACTCAGCTGCAATGTGAACAGTCTGCCTTGAATTGAATACTTCAGTTGTTCTGAGAAGAATTTCATTCTTAGTGAAAGTTCCTAACAAAATTCAGTGTTTTGGATGTATGTATATTGAACTCAGCAAGATCTCACTGTCTATCAAACTAGTTTCTCGTTTCTTCATTGAGGAAATGATTCCTTCTGCAATAAGTCATCTCATTTTAAAAAGAACAAACATCACATTTGCCATTCTGCAGAAACAAGCCTCCTGTTAATTATTTAGATTGTAGCTTTTTTGTGGCTGTAAGTATATATGGTGTAGAAAAAGAGTTTCCTATTCTGCAAGATCATTCCAGTCTTTCTGTTAGGGAAACATTGGGGTTATTTACAACTTCTAAAAAGTTCTTAGTTCTTTACAACCTCTTTGTCATCAAATACGTACTTCCCCATCGTGTTGCTTGATCAAATAATTACTCCTTTTCTTACTCGCCTCCTAAGAATGGCATCACTTTTGGGAGTCCTTGCTGCTATTGCTGCTTGCTTAAATTTAACAAGATTTAAGCAAGCAGATTGTTGAGATTTGTAGCATCAGTACCAATGAGATTTGTAGCATTTATTGCATCTTGAAGCCATAGGCTACAATAATGCCATCTATCAGCTGAAGAAGTAATTAAAGGAATCGGTTTAATTAATAATGGCAAATATAACATCCATCCTCCTCCCTTATATTTATTTATAATTATGTCAATCAAATGGAAAATAACTAAATATTACTAATGTATATAGTCCATAAATAAAAATAACTCAATTTGTAATTAATTTTTTTTTCTATTTACTTTAATTTAATTTCAAATTGAAACTGTCCAACAAAAACTGGAGTCAGAGTCGACGTGTTTTTCACGATTCCAGCTCCAACTTCTTTTACCAAAAAATTTGCCTAACTCCGATTCTGACTCCACAGATGCCTCAGAGATGTAAACCAGCCAGCAGTACAAACAGTTGTCAGACTTTGAGAAGGGGTATATTGTAGGTCTCAGAGAAGCAGGTTGATCAAACAGGCATATCGGCCACCACCTCAGTTGGAGCAATAGGGTAGTTGCTCAGTGTTGCTGAAAATTGATCACGGAGGAATAGTCTACCATCACAGAAGGTCAGGGATACCAGGAATACAAATAAACATGAGCATCACACCTTCCAGGCAGCCGGTGGTATCAAGGGAAACCATTCAGAGATGACTGGTCATTGCTCGTATATGCTACTGACATCTGTTAAGACGCATACCACTGATCCGCTATAATAGACAGTCTTGATTGGATTTTTGCCAAACTCGGGTTAGCTGGAGTGTGACCAACTGAAGACGTGTGATCTTCAGCGATGGATCCCGATTCAGTCTTGGTGCTGATGACCAATGCACACGTGTGTGGAGGCGATCAGCTCAGCGGTCTGATCTGGCATTTGTTGTTGAACGGCATACAGCAATTACACAAGGTGTGACAGTGTGGGGAGCAATTTATTGGGACACATAATCACCTCTAGTCTTCCTTCAAGACAATATGATGGCTTGCATTGAGTAGATGACATTTTAATGTTGGTTGTAGTGTCTATGCTATGAAGTCACCCAGGTGCCATTCATCAGCAAGACAATGCTCACCCACATACTGTACAACTCTGTCAACAACGTCTTCAAGGATATGATGTACATCAGATGTCTCGCCAATAGAACACATTTGGAACATACTTGGAAGGCAATTGCAGCTGTCTCAAATATTAGTGAATTAAATGCCCAGTTGCAAAGATTATGGCATGATCTTTTGCAGGGGTTCATAGGTGACCTACTTGATTCGATGGCACACCTTCTGTTTCAGTTTGTATATGCCAGAGGTCAAAATACTACTTACTGATTTGTAACCTTTTTCATGCCATAACTTCTTAATAAAACTATATTTTGTTCTGAATTTATAATCATTTGTTTATTGCCTCATACACTACATACATATTAAGTTTTGTGGTAGTAGTTCGTTTCCTTTTATGTGTGTGTGACAAAGTATATAAAATCAATTTTAAAAAATATTATCCTTAATTATGGAAATAAAATATTAGGTTTAGTTAGTCAAAAACTAAACTTAAGCCTTATCAAATACTGGTAAAATTTTAATGCTAAAATCTAAGAAAACCTTTATTTAAAGAATTAATTTCTACATCATATATAGCATCGAATGATTTAGGCATTGGTTTTGTAAGAACATTTAACACTATTATATAGTATTTTAACATTTCACCACTGTCATCACTTGCACAGACATTGTTACTCGTAAAAATTTGGTTGGTACTGTTCACAACACACCTACATTAGTCTGCTGTTTATGTTGCCTAAACTTGAAGTCAAATCTGATGTAAAGTTCAAATGGCACTTGTTTTAAAAATTGTCTCTCTGATCTTAAGCAATTTAATGTATGGCTGAATTTCAAGCAATTTAGTGGCTGAATATAATTTAAAATTAATAATAGTTATTCTAAATTTTTTAGTTACTAGTATTTGTAATTTACAATACAATGAAAATTTCAATTTTTAAAAATGACATTGTTTCACAAGTATATTTTATGGTTTCTCTTTTTTTCTGTAAGATTCTTGATGCTTATTTTTGTTTTCATGTGTTATTCTATACTAACCACCTTTTAACTGAAATTCGATTCACTTGAATCTTAAATAAAAAATGAAAATAAAAGAAAACTGATGTATAATGTTCTCTTTCCTGAAAGCTGTTTAGTATGCTCACTAATTATTTGTATGGACAAATAATAAAGTTGCTATTAATTTTTATAAAAAAATTAAATATGTGTATTATGATTCCTCAGTTTAATTTTATAAATTATTGATCTGGTTTTTTATTCCTTTTCTTGTAGTCAAAAATTAAGAGGGAAAAAATTAGGGGTTAAAGAAATTTTTCAGTCTCAAAAATAAAATATGTACTATGTTCCATTTGTTTAATTATGTTGAACAACTTCCTTTAAAAAAATTTATACTTGGTCAAAAATAATTTTCTAATTACATAGCCAAATTCAGATATTTATTTATTCATTTATTTTTTTTTTATTTTATTTATTCCCCCCCCCCCAATTTAACCCAAGATTTCAATTTGTTTTAACATCTGTGATTGGTTTTAAGTGATGCAAATAATTTTTTTTCAGTGAACTGAGCTTTCCAAATTCTTGTATATCATGTATTGACCAGAAACACACCTCAAATTTAACTTGTTCTTTGCAAGAATCCAACTGTGATAATGAAATGGGGGAAGATATTTGTATCCTACCTGAAATCACTATACCAGTGAAGTCTAAACCTTTGTAAGTTTTCCATATGTCTGTTATGTGTGTTTTACCATTGCTTTGTGTGTGCCGCCTGTTATTAATGTTACATTTTATGTTATGTGAAATTTTAAAAAAATGTTCTTTTTCCTTACTTTTATAGCATTTTATTATATTTGATATAAATGAACTTTAAAAATAATGAATTCAAGTCATCTGGATAAATGCTGAATGTGACTACGAAGTTAAGATGATGCAAATATATTCAACTGTAAAATGCTTATGCAAAAATTATCTTGCTTATGCAGAATTATATTGCTTATGCAGTTATATTGTTTATGCAAAAATTATCAACTTATGCAAAAATATTCAACACTGTAAAATGCTTCAACATTCCATTTGCATGGTTTTCAGCATGCATTTTCATTGACATTTTGATGAATATATTTTTGTAACTCCCTGAATTTGTTTGTCTTGAAAAAATAGAAATGTTGCCTCTTCAGTGGCAAGAAAATTTATTTACAGGCAGGGTGAGGGAATGTAAAAATATATTTTAAATAACTAAACCATTTCTTTGTAAGCTTAAAAATGTTAAGATTGTGCTGGAGTTTTAAATATGATGGCATAATATCATAGTGATTTTCTATTATTTGGCACTCCTAATTTGAACAGTTCATTTTAAATATGTATGTGATATTCTATAGCATGCATTTGATGGTAATGAATTGTAAAAATAAGTACGGATCTGCATTAAGAATGTGTTGGTAGAATTTTAAAAAAAAATTCCTATAGGCGTTAGTAATATTTGCGGGAGATGATACAATCTAACTGGTATCCTTAGAATTGGTTTAAAGAATAGTTTCAATTATTGAAAATCATCTGAAGTGTAGTCATATGAACTTAGTCCTATGCTTGTTGGATTTTAGTTTGAATATCAGTTTGTTATAATCATTGTGACCAGTTTATGAAAGTAATTTTTTTTAGGAAAGGTGTAAGAAAATCTTTTACAGGCTGAATTTTAAAACACCTTTTTGATGCCTTGCTGGGGGAAAAGAACAAAGTTTCCTGCATGGGTTTATTTTGTCCCCTGAGATGGATTTTTAACCCATTTCTTCACAAAACAATCTCAGTATGAAATAGGTATATTCCTGAAACTGCACCTGAAATATCATACCTCAGTAGATATATTGCTGATGTAATTGCAATAGAGTAGTCTAGCCACTGTGAATGGTATGCTAACTAGTGTAGATTAACTGCTAGCCAAAAACCAGGGATATAAGTTCAATTTCCATGTAAGGCTTGCTTGTACGAGTGTTACCTTTCCCCTCCTTGCTCATAAAATATCACTTGGCCCTTATGGTAAATGCTAAGCAACACTATAGTGATTTAATGATGAAAGGCCTAAATGGCCATAATTCTTGACATATGCTTGACCAGCAACGATCTGGCCACTGGAAGAGAAAAAGAATGCAATCCACAGAACTCGTAGGACAAAATCAAATAAAGTATACCTACATCGGTTGCAACAGATGGGCCAGAAAGATACAAGCTTCTTTTAAAGAACAGAAGTTGACAGCACAGACATGTTTCAATTCAAACAAGGCAAAATGTGAAAATTGGTTGGTAGATTTATCGCAGAAAATTTCTCATACTTCACTACCTTACTAAGAGTATGGATGTTTTTAGCATCTCTGTATTGGGCTGTGGCTTATTTGTTATGTCATTAACATTGGAATCTGATATTTCCATCATCATGAAAAATGCTAGGTACAAAACTATTAGTGCCACTCAGTTGTTCGACCAAAATCTAGTAACTGCCATAATGAAAATGACTTTGATAAGGTTTAGAATGTTTATTTTATTCTAAATTAAAGATCTTCCTAACATATCTAATACATTAAAAAAAAAAAAAAGGGTTCACTGTTGTATTAAAAATTATAACTTTTAATGAGGTTAAAATTATTGTTTACTGTAATTTACTTCAGTTTGGATCTTTTTTTAAAAGTTTCCAAAATTTACCTCTGTGTCAACATTGTGAATTACTTCAACTCCATTCTTGTCAGAGCATAGAAAAACTTTTTGATTACCATTTTTTTCTTTTTACATTGTTTGTGTGTAGCAATATTAGCATTTGCAATTAAGCAGTGCTTAATTGCAAATTAGTATGACTTTGTATGGTTTTCAACAAAACTGAAGTAAGCATTAAAATTTTATTTGTGCTTCCTTTTATTTTGAATTTTTTTTTAGTTATTATTGCATAAAATTATTTAGTTCATAATAATTGTAACTCAAGTGTAGTACTTTCCCAATATCCAATGAAGTCAAAGTTAATAGTAGTGCTGGGTAAAAGGATTGATAGTTAAAAAAAAATTTGGGACCATATGCTTGCTGATTCAAATGCCACCATCAGCCAGTAAGACCAGCTGCATAACTTTACCCTTTCATTGCTGCTTATGCTTAACACTCTGATTCCTCAATTTTTTATTCAAGAATTGCACATTGTTTAATACAAAGTAAAGGAAACAATATTGTAATAATCGTGAAAAATTTTGTGTAGTGTATTTCAACAAAAATATCAATTTTGACCATTTGTGAAACCATTTAAATGAGGTTTTTCCATGGTATCTGTATATATACACACAGGATAAAGTACTCTTTTTTCAAAAACAGATTGTAAAATAGATTTAAAATGGATTCAGAAGGGATTTTTTTCATGACGTGTACATACATATACATCTCACATAACTAAAAAATCAGTAGCCTCAGAACATTGAAATTTTATATAGTATGGTATTGCCATAACATGTAGTTTGTGCAACTCCCTTTTCAGTTGCAACTGGCCGCACGAAATGTATATAAATATACACTGCTTTCCAAAAATTAAGGGGAAAACCATAGAACTCATTCAAATATAAGCCATCCATATAAAATTTGAATATGTTGTCAAATAAGAGTTGCTGAGTAAAACTGCAGTATTCAAATTAGTGGCACTACAATCAGAATACGTCATTTAGGAGAACAAAATTGCATGCTTGAAAGCAATATTAGCATTCTTGAAAAATTGCATGCTTGAAAGCAATAATATCACAGCCAATTTTGCTGTGATAAGAAATCTGAGATAGCCAATTCACAGCAATGACCTCCAGGCATCATTTGCCCAAAAGAATGCAATGGAGAGCTATTGAACATTAGAGGTAGGACTAAGTCGAACAGAACTGGCTAGATGGCTAAATGTGAGCCCTTTGTGGTGGTGATTGCAACAATTTCTAACCACAGATTCGGCATCCAGGACTTTCAGCCAAGGATGGCTAACCATTATGATTGATGACTCATATTTGTTGTTATGCGCACAAAGGAATAGATCCTTAACTCAGATATTCCCTTGCTGCAGGCACTGGATAATTGGTGTCAATGTCAACCATGCCTTGAAGGCTTCATGAAGGAGGTCTGAATGCGAGGCGACCAGCCATTTCTGTTCCGCTCACATCACATCATGGAAGGAAACGTTTGAGGTGGGCACGTCAACATATCCTTTGAATAGCTGATCAATGGAGGGCTGTTAGCTTTATGGATGAGTCCAGGTTTAGCCTCCAAAGAAATATAGTCAAAAGTCGTTAATCCGTACACCCATAATCCGGATTGATCTATAATCCGGACGTCAAAGCTACAAACTTTCTGCGCATGCGTCAACGGATAATGCGTTGACGTATCCACGTAATACCTTTACGCATGCGCATAATCCGTTTATGCATGCTTGTTTAATGTATAGCGGACGGTATAAGCTAAGCTAAAATTATCTAATTATCTATTTCAGTTAATGTTGCAGATTGCTTTGTTCCTTAATCTTCGAACTGAATCCGGCTTATTATTTTTTGCAGACTGATAGAGCAATTTTATAAAAGTAAGTTGGAACTTTCGATTATGTCAAACAGAATTTCCGATGCTGGAACTGCCAAAGGATCTACAAAGGGAAAGAAGTGTTTCGATGTCCATCAAACAAAAAGTGGAATTGCTGCAAAAAATGGATAAAGGCTCCTTTGTTTCTCTAACCATTCAGAAATCTGTTTATCAATTTCACGCTGTTATGTGCGAGGGTGGGGGACGTCGCGGCGCTCAATGAACTGGAAGTTGATCTGTCAGCACTATCCTTATCTTCAGGGCAGATGTTTTTATTTTATACGGCTTATAATTCCGTACTAAATGTAGTATTTCATCTCGATGTACTCCGTCTTTGATATGATTTAAATCAAATTCCTCGTCATTATAAATATCATGAATACAAATCAAATAGTTTTCTGGTTGCAATTTTCTAATTTCAACTATGCGTTATGTATGCTTTACGCATGCGCGTGTTGAAAGAAATGTTTTATAAAGTAAACAAATAAATATTAAGCTTTTTTTTGTAAATTTTGATACCTTTTAGATTATAATTGCTTTTTATTTCATAAATACGGTTTCATATTTTTAATTTTATAATTTCTGCATGCCATCTTACCAGATTTAAACTGATGATCTATAATCCGGAAAAATCGATAATCCGGAATCGCCGAAGTCCCGACGAGTCCGGATTAAAGACTTTTGACTGTAGTAGGCATTATTTGATATAGAGAGAAACTGAAACCTGTTATCAACCATGAAAGATATGCATACAGAGGAGGCAGTGTGTTTTTGTGTTGGTATCTCTATGTGTGGATGAACAGACCTCCATGTCTTCCTATGTGGAATTGAGAATGCTCAGGTGCATAGAGATGACATCCTTGATGCTATGTGCATTGTTATGCCAAGGCAATGATTTCTTGCTACGGGCCGAGAGTGCTAGACCTCACAGGGCTCGCACCATGGATAATTATCTTCAGCAACAAACAATTCAACGCATGAAGTGGCCAACTCGATCACCAGACTTGAAGCCTATCAAGCATGTTTGGTATGCTTTAGGAAGACATATAATTGCTGTCTGTTCTTCTCTTCAAAACCTTGCAATTGCTTTGCAAGAGCAAGAGCTCTCACTTCCTATGAAACTGATAGACCTCATAATTGAC